ATCATCTGCTTTAAAATAGATCTCCATATGATCTGTGTATTGGACTGTAACACTCTATTCAGGTGTCATTAATAGATATCCTTTATCCACTGGTATATAAGACACAAAATCAATTCAATTTCCATCATTATCACCAGAATTATTTTCAGAAAATCAACTCTAAGATCAAGAAGATACCTCAGTGCTCTGCATCCTTGGGAGGATGTGTATTAAACATTTGTTAGATGACCAATCTATTCATTCGATTTAGATTATGGGCCATATGTTTTTCTTCAAATTGATTGAATGGCATGGTTGTCATTCTGGAGGACTCTCTGTTGTCCTCACTCGGAGAAGGTAGATTAATGAATAGATCAGAACTACCACATCCAGTTTTCTCCATGTCCTCTGCAGATTAATTTTCCATTAACTCCTCTGTAAACTTATAAGCATCTACTCTGAAAAAAGCCAGACTCTAGAAATCCCAGTTGAATTAATCTTTGGTAGGGGCTAAAAATGTTTTATCATGGGAAATATTCTCCATCTGCCCATGTCTGCTAAAAGTAGGGACATAACGTAAACATTAGTGTTTCATCCTGCACACACACGCACACACACACACACACACATACACACATACACACACACACACACACCACAGTAAAAATATAAAAGTAATATTTTAAGTGATATGTAAGAATAAGAACATAGAAAATAACTTGTATAATAACTTAAACTTTTGTTCATATTAACAATACATCATTGAGCATTCTAACTCACATTAGTCACTCATCAGGCATTGAGAACACAGTATACATGTCACTTTAGTAAGCACCAAGGAATATAACAATAAGCACACTTCCTACAGGAAGTCATATTGCCTCTGTTCACTTTCCCCCTCAATCCAGAGAACAAACAACAGGAATATCATGGAGACTTTAGCTTTTGCCCAAGGAGGAATTTGTCTCTTGAAAAAAAAAAAAAAAAGAGGAAGAGATCAATCCTTTGAATAAAATATAAAAGTTTACTCTTGGGGTGCTGGGTAAGCATCTGACTTCAGCTCAGGTCATGATCTTGTGGTTCATGAGTTTGATCCCTGCCATCCAGCTTTGTGCTAACAGCTCAGAGCCTGGAGCCAGCTTCAGTTTCTGGGTCTCCCTCTCTCTCTGCCCCTCCCCTGCTTATTCTCTCTCTCTCTCTCTCTCTCTCTCTCTCTCTCTCTTTCTCTCTCTCTCTCAAAAATAAATAAACTTTATTTACTCTTTAAGTGACTTTATTGCTTATGTTCGCTCTTTAAATGACTTCATAGCGTATCATATTGTAAAAATTCCTCCTCAAGGGGAGGAATAAGAAATTTCTGGTTTGGACCTACTTAATAAGTACCTAAATAAAATAAATTTTAACATATATAAATAATTTTGAATAACTCTAAAATAGCCATACACTTCCTTTTTTTAAAGTTAACCATGGGCTCATTTGTTTTGTTTTATTGTTCTTTGTGAAAGCACCATTTCCTGGTTTCAAAACCTAAGGAAAAGTAGAAAACATTTGTTTTAATTATCAAAAATTTCTGGAAGAGGTGATTTTTGAATAAAATTATCTGGATAAAATGCCTACTTGGTTAAATGGTGTATAAATTCATTACTCTTCAGCATCTCAATTCCTTTCCTCCCCCTCATTTCTATTACAAAGAAAATATGGGTACAGAGTCACACAAGAATTCTTTAGATTCTGTAGAATGTGTATTTTCTTCATAAAGCACATTCTGATTACTGTGTCACATAAAGTCATGATACTACTAATTCTATAAAAAAGAAAGAAGAAACTACCCATTTCCAACTTTTGAACCATGTTAAGCTTCATTTGAATACAAAAAGCCTTTATACATTGCTATTTATTAACATTATTTTTATAAATGTTATATTTAAACTTCATGTATTTATTTACTTACTTGCAATTTTTAATTGTGAGAAATGTTAGAGATTTAGGGCAGTATGGAAAAAAAAGAAACTTAAAACTTTTATGGAAAATATAACTACAGAACACGTAAGACTGAAAATAATACATTATTTTTATTTGCATGTAGTTCTTTTAATAATATTAGACAAAAAACCATTTTAAATTAGACCTAATAGTATTGTTATAGCAAAAGATGGGGTAACTTGTTCTTAAATCTTCAAGGCCAGTACGAATTAAAAACCATCTGCAGTTAGTTTTAAGATTCTATATAGGATCTGGATACAGTGACCCAACTTGATCTGTCATGGCAGGATCCTTACCTAATACATGTTTTTTTTATATTACCACTTCCTCAAGGACCTAGGACTGTGCCTTATGTTTAGTAGGCCCTTAATAAATTCTGAATGAACTGTTACCTGTTTTATGCTCCATTAATAAAACTAAGACCTCTGGGATCAGACAGTACTTTATACTTTTGCGTCAACTGACTTTCCATCTTGAAGATTCCCATTCATCTTCTGTTTCCCTAGATCAGTGCTTATGAAATTAACCAAGTAAAATAAACACATTTAGTATTTGATCCACATCAAAAAGCCCTTAAAAATGCTTTGATGTGCAAGCAATAGCACTCAGTGTCCTCTTTGGTCTTCAGTGTCCCCTCATTTGACAACTTTGTGGTTCTTGCCTTAAAGAAGTGGGAGAATCTTTTTTTGTTTTAGCTTATTATTTATCCATAAAGGAAGCCTTTCTGGAAGTTAGAAGACATATTTTAGAAAGGAGAAGCATACCCGCACACAAAGTTAAAATTTGATTCTCACGTCTTTAGATGAAGAGATCCCCAGACTCACCAATATCCCAGAATTGAGTTTTGTGTTTCCTTAGTGAAGTGGTTCTAAGACTTTACATTACCATAAATCCAATCTTGCTTGTTGATGATATCAAGTTTCTTTAAAGTACTCTCTGTTGGGTTTGTTAAGAGTTACTTAATTTTCTTTTCTGGTATCAATCTAATTATAACCAACAAAAAGTTAAGCAATGTCAATATACTAGATTGTGTGGGTAGAATGCTCAAGTTTTAAGCTGCCCTCTCTTATTTAGAAAGATGTCCTGAATTCCTTTATCTGACATGGAGCCTAACCATAGAACATCTGGTTTTCTCCTACCTATTTGAAATTCAGTGTAATCAATAGCCTCGCTAAATCCAGGGGGTGCTGTACCCATAGAGCTTTATGTCTGAGTAATATATGGATGTGCTTGTGGGCTTGTTTCTGCATCTTCCCACAAACTAGCTGGGAGTCTGAGAAACTTCATTAAAAAGACATTTGTCAGGATGCTAGAGGAAAAGGAAAATCCTCCACAGACTATTTACCTAATTTCCAGCCAATACAGGATTACTCCCACCAGGAATCATTTATTGCTTTACTGGCCTAAGTGATGGCACTGTTAGCATCTCTTTTGGCTGATTGCTTTGCAATCTAGTTGCTTTCAGATGTGAGAAAAGCTACCTTAATATTCATACAGAACTTCTGTCTCGCTTCATTTCTTCCAACATTGATCTTACCGTGTCCCGTGGGCAAAGTTTATCCTCTGCTTATTGAAACCCAAATGTATCAGAGTCACACAAGGAAGGTGTTTGGGAAAAGGCTTGTGCAGATTTTAGTCAGCCCACCAAAATGTTCCCAATGGCTGCTTATTTCATTTGCTTCTCTCCTGCCTACCCTTATGGGAGACCACAGTCACTGGCCAGCAGATTTTAAATTTACCAATTGATACTGAAAACAGATTATGGTGTGATTGGATTAATTTATGCACTGCTTGTTGGAAGCTTGATATCCTAACTTCAGCTCAGGCTTGATATGAAAGGAATTTTTAAAATTCTGAACGTATAGTCTGTTAACAAGATTTGGGTTTGTTGCTCACAACTGTTTTGCAAATAAAATGATGGGATCTTGAGAAAGCTTTAGCAAGAGGAGTGTCTGGGATGCCAAAGAATGTCACAAGAGCAGGACTTAAAAGAAGAAAAATAAAATCTAAGCAATGTGAGAAAACATCCTATGTTATTGTAGCTGAGTGCCTCAGGTGGCTTCCTCTATGTCATCCACTGATTCTAACTGCTCACAGAAATAACTCTCTGAAGTGAAGAAATGGAATATTAGCTGTATTCTTCTATGTGTTTGCATATAAATTCAACTCCCAAATGTGTTCTTATAAATTTTCTACTTAATAGACATTCTAGAATTCAAAATCTAAAAAAACTAATTACAGTTCCACAAATGTACCAATAGAAAAAGGTATCATCTGTGGTGAAATATCATTAATTAAATTTGGATGATAGCACAATTCTGGTTATTTCTGGCTCAATTCTCTTCAATACTGCTTTTACAACTGTTGCACACCTACTGGAAAGCAGTGCTTCCAATAATGTGGTGTTAAAGAAGCCTTCTTTCTTCCCTGCTGTGTTTTTAAGAAAAATTCAGAACAGGTATGTGAGCTGTGCCATAACCCCATTCTTGACTCTGTATCTAATATCTCATTCCCAGGCACCTGTTTTGCACATACCACAAGGACTGCTCAAAACCCAGTTATAAGACAAAATGTGCAGTCCCCTTGTAGGGTAATAATGATAATTTGCCACAAAATCGTATCAGATGGATGGACCTCTTGCAGCATGAAAGAGGTGGGGGTCTGCCTCTCTAGGAGCCATGGCCAGCACCCTTTCTGTTCTGAGAGGTTACACTGGGACTCAAACCACTGCTGTACCTTCTGGGGACACTTTTATAAGGAGATTGGTAGAAAAAAAGTGGGGACAACTTTTCAAAGAGGAATTGAATTTAGCTTTTTGTAAAAAAGAGTCTATTTTCATGACAGATTTTTTGACACATAGAAAATAACATTTTTTCACAAAACATAATGGTATTAATAGTCTCAGACTTTCTTTGAAGTAGCCAAAATACCTTGTTCAATTGTGTGTGTGTTTTAAAATATTTATTATTTTTGTCTGTTTCATTATGCTTTCATGCTGTATATCCACTAACATGCTGATATGTTTTCCCAACAAATAGGTCGTCATGGAGATGGAGGTTATTGGCCAGTTGATACTAATTTGATTGATAGAAGCACTCTCAATGGTAAGTCTATCAATTAGATTCTATTGGATTAGTTATATTAATTAAATGGTTAATTCTAGAGTGTCTGAGGCAATTTTTTTACTTACTGAAAGTGTTAAGAATCCCAGACCTAGGATTTTAGTGGGATAATAGAAGTATTAAGCTATATATATAAAAAAGAAATATGAAGTTATTAGCAAACCTGTAGTACATTCTACCAGGAGATAATGCCAATGAGAGTTGAGTGCACAAAATAGTCAGTTGAAAAGTTCAAGCATGGAAAATTTTATAAATGATTCAGAGTTGTTAATAATATAATATCTAAATTTTAAAGTGTTATATGTATTTCAAAGGTTTCCAGGGGCTCCTGGGTGGCTCAGTCGGTTGAGACTTCAGCTCAGGTCATGATCTCACGAGTTGCGAGTTCGAACCCCACATCAGGCTCACTGTGTCAGCACAGAGCCTGCTTCAGGTCCTCTGTCCCCTCCCCTCTGTCCCTCTCCCACTCTCTCTCACTCACATTAAAAAAATAAAGGAATAAAATGTCTCCAAAAATTTAATATTATTAGAGAAACGTGATCTCTAAGGGAGATTGAACTGAAACCCACTTAGTTTCCTAAACTGAAGTCACTAAGAATTTTTGCTTAGAGAATTTACTCTTCAGAATCCTTTAGCAACTTATTGCTAATTTTTCTTCACACTCTAAGGATTAAACGTTTATTTCTGCTCATCCTGATGGACCATTCATACGCTTCAGGGTCGGCCAGAAATAATATCTAGCACTGCACAGAAGAAGCAGTTGGTGTTAGTGTTGGAGCTGTCTTCTAAGATCTTGTCCTCAGTTTTGCTGAAACAGAAACTTTGGGAGAATGAATTAATACAAGCCAAACTTCTAAGGGACTGATGTATATATGATAAGTTCCTTTCATAGGTTTTTAAAAATTTGTTCAGTTGCTGTTGTTTGGTTTGGTTTGCTAGATATATAGTTCATACATTCAAAACACAAATATGAAAACTTGTGTACTCATCAGCAAGGTTAAAATATAAAATATTCAACATATAATTGAAATCTGTTATATATCTCTGCCTTATCACATGCTTCTCCACCATTTCCTCCATTCCCCATTGATGTAAACACTCTCCCAAATATGGTTTTTACTGTATAGATATATATCCCTAAACATTATAATATTACTATACATGTTTATCACTTTATAAAAATGGCATCATAGGATACGTATCTTGTTGCATCTTGCATTCATCTTTAATTTTGTTTTTAAGATTCATCTGTGTGTTTACAAATACTCTTAGTATTTTGTTTTATGAAAATAATACAATATGTTTATACAACAATTTTAGCAGGTTTTCATGAAAAATTTGATTTCTGAATAGATAAATATTCATTTGAATGCTCTTCTATTTAAAAATCCATATGGGTTGGGACACCTGGGTGGCTTCGTCGGTTAAGCTTCCGACTTCGGCTCAGGTCATGATCTCACAGCTTGTGAGTTTGAGCCCCACAACGTGCTCTGTGCTGATGGCTCAGAGCCTGGAGCCTGCTTCGGATTCTGTGTCTCCCTCACTCTCTGCCCCTCCCCCACTCATGCTCTGTCTGTCTCTCAAGAATAAATAAAAATTTAAAAAAAATTTTAATAAAAACAAAAATCCATATGGGAAGCCAAATTGCAATCTAAAAGTTGTTTACTGAGTGAGAAATTGGAATAAGGGGTTCAGCTAAGTGATTATTTCCTATTATAGGTAATGATAACCTAATGCATCTATTTTCTCAAAGAGGACATGTATGTATGTGCAGTAGACCAGATGCTCCATTTAAAGGCTCAGCATCCCCTCCTCTGTCCAGTATTGGATTCAGGAACATATATTTACCTGTTGACTTCTTTTCTAATTACCAGGCATACCCTCTTCTGCTATTAATGCAGTTTACTTAACCAGATAAGTATAAGTTCTTACATTTAAGCTTCCTAAATATATTCCAATCATACCTGTCTAAGGTTATACCCAGAATGCTCTCTCCAGGTTGCTACAGTCCTCACCACTTCCTATTGTCTTGTACACACATCCTCTACCCACATCAAGTAACATTATTGTCTCCTATAGGTATTTGAGGATTAGACACCTTCTATAGCTGGTGCCTGGATCTGATAGTTTCCAGGCTCTCAGACACACAAGGGACACTTTAGGAAGCTCACAACAGAAAGTTGAGAGGAGGGATGTGTTGGGACTGAAAACAGACGAAGGGCATGTTCCTTCAATAGGTTTAGATAATGATGGTTCCCTTCCCAAAACTGTGCAAGTTTTATCAACTCATTCTTTTGCTTCAGATTTTATCTCAAGAGTCAACAATATGCCAAACACACTTCATGCATTCAAGTAATCAGTTAGAAATGCCCCTAAGCCATCACTGTGTGCAGGGTGCTTGCTATGAACTATGCACACAGATTGAAAACTAGACCTCCACAGGAACAACAAATGAAGAGGGGGAATTACCCAGGTGGACAAGGCAGAGGAATACGCTTCAGAAAGATGAAAGAGAGTGAGAAAAATCTCAGGGATATGAAGGAGGGTAAAAAGAAGGTCATCATTGAAATCGTGTGGGGAAATAACATTGTAGTGTTTTTTGCCCTGAGATGGGTTCTAGGTTTAGAGTCCATGCCAAGAATTAGCATGATCCCCTTTTTAGAGTCATCCTGCAGAGCTGATTTTCAGATATGGTTTCTACAGAGAGTTTCAAAATGGAATTCATCCGCAGCTAAGGGCTGACTATCTATACTGGCACAGGATGGTGTTTTTTGAAGAGACAGAGTGCCAAGAAATTAAGAGAGAGCCAGAACAGTTAATTGAGAAGGAACACTTGTCCCTTCACTGTTTCTACCCTCTAATAGGCAGTGGTCATGCATGTTAAAGGTGGAGCAAGTGTAAGCCACAAACATAAAACTAGGCATTCTCTTAAACGACATGTCCTAAAGAACTCTAATTTTGAATAGAATTTTCAAGTTTAGCAAGTAAAAATACAGGAGGCCAGAAAATTTGAATCCTTTCTAATCACCTATATATGAGATAAAGGAAAATATTGCAAGAAATTTCCATTTCAATGTATGTATGCATCCCAAGGTGCACATGTATAGGTGACTACAAATAACTGAAATTTGATTGAGCCTCCTGTATTTTTAATTACTAAATATAGCAGTCCTAATTTTGGATCAAGTTTGAAAGTTTGGTATTGACTATTTGAATTTGCCCTTCAAAATAAAGTGAGATTTCTGAAAAGAAACCCCAGACCAAATTTGATGCTAACAGGTTAAGTCAACAAGAACTTTTCACAGGAGTCAGATCTCAGATGAAGAGAATTATAGTAATTGATGGGAATGCATGTTATTGTATTCTTTTTTTTTTTTGCCATTTAAGATTCCTAGTCAGAAAAATAATTGCAATTAAATTTAGTCTGATATACATTATATCACTAGAGAAATTCATGAAGATAAAATAGAGGAACAATAGCCAGTGACTTTGAACCAGTTTAGATAGATCATTGCCCATCACCCCTTCTCAATTTTCTGCAACACATAATGATGTTTTAGGTGTTTCATGTTAAATGAATGGGATGAACAAAGCACCTGAATCATTTATAGAATCTCTACTGGAATCACGAATTATTACAGGCTACTTGATTGAATTGATAACCTCTAAGAGACATGGATGGTGGAGAGCAAACTCAATCTGTTTCCCATTCTATTTTTCTAACTGATAAATGATGGTAAATATGTAATTTGACTTTAGCTTAGGTTATTACGAGCAAATCAGCAAAGGCATCTGAAAAACCCTACCTTTCTAATTAAAGTTCTGCTAATGTCTTATTATGCCTTAAGAAGGGTTATAATTTCCAATCCAATGTACAAATGAAACCTTGACTGATAAAACTCCAAACCCACCCAACCTAGGCTGAGTCAACGAAAACATTTTAAAATCTGAGCTTTTAAACCTCATACACCAGGAAATTTTCATATATCTCCTCTTAGAGTGACAGAATTAGAGTTTTCCTATCTCTCCCTACACTTCCTGTATTCATCCTTCAAAGAATTATAATAGAATAATGGCTTATTGTCGGGATCCTCAAGCTAGTTTCAAATAAATTTAGACCTCACTAGTCACTTACTTTCTCTTACAGCATGCCACTCTTTAAAAATGCACTCTTGGAATTCAAATAAAAACAAAGCTATAGTTCATGTTTGCTCTTGTAGTTGTAAGCCCTTAATTAAATTGAGGAAACTGAAGAGTCTTCCTAAATTATTTTCTTATGACAGATAGAATCAAAGCTAATAGGTACTGATATGGTAGTATTTTATTTTTATGGTGTATTCAATTTTGTGGTCCACATTCTCAAAGCAGGAAAATCTTCAACTTCTGAAAATGTGATTTTGTAGTTTATATTTGTATGAATACAACACTGAAAGTCACTTCAATCTTGCTGTTCTCATTGGGAAAGATAAATCAGCATTTTTTTTTTTTTGTTGATGGATCTGTGTGTAATTTATAAAATTAGTAATTTTGGTTAAGAGATCTATAATCCCTATAAATATGTGGTTGTATTGATCTCAACCTTTAAAACCCAAATTAACTTTGATAAGTTGATGCTTTGGTGAAATATTTCTAAAAATCAATATCATTAATTTTTAGATATTCAGAATCATATTAGGTGTTCTGTAAAATATGCCTTACACTGTGTGTTTGGGAGAAAAGATCATGACTTGACCCTTACTCTTAAAAACTTTTATTTTATTATTTTCAGAATGCAGTAATATTTTAACTAATCTAAATAAAATAGACATAAAAGCTCTTCCATATTTGCATGAAATGATCATTCTGAGGTTGGTGAGCTATTGTAAGCACTCAACAGACACCTTAATGCCAAAGGAAAGGTCCAGAAATAAAACTTTACATCATTCATAGAAAGGTAATTGGAGTGGTCCAGGGTATCAAGTTTTAGTCTATAAGGGGCGCTG